GAAAAAAGTACCAAGCTCTGAACGTGATTGCCCTCAGGTACATCCGCTGCTGCAGCGAAGTGCAGCCAGATACATTCTGGAAAGTGCTACGTCACAGTGAAGCCCTGGAATTGAAACGGTTGGCACGCATTGAATGCTCCTCCTCACGGGGAGCAGAAGCACAAACAGCCGAGATACTTCTTCCAAAAAAACAAAAAAAAAACAGAAAAAAACAAAGGGGAAAAGAGGTACCAAGCTCTGAACGTGATTGCCCTCAGATACATCCTCTGCTGCACCAAAGTGCAGCCAGATACATTCTGGAAAGTGCTACGTCACAGTGAAGCTGTGGACTTGGAACGGTTGGCAAGCATTGAATGCTCCCCGTGTCTCACGGGAAGCAGAAGCACAAACAGCCGAGATACTGCTGCTTCCAAAAGAAAAGAAAAGAAAAAAAAAAACGGCAAAAGAGATACCAAGCTCTGAACGTGATTGCCCTCAGATTCATCCACTGTGCCCACAAGTACAGCCGGATACATTCAAAAGAGTGCTAACGTTACAGGGCTGGCGGGCACTCATGAAAAACCTGTTTTCTTCCAAAAAAAAAAAAAGAAAGAAAAGCAACGATCTGTTTTGTTTTCTTCTCGTGTTGCCGTTCCTTTTCTTTTCTCTTTTCCCCCTCGTCGCCTTCAGCCTCCGAACGTTTCCACATAGCACAGCACCAGGACATCTTACAGTCCATTTGCCCCGTTTCTGTGGGCCCACGCACGTCCTCCTCTATCGCACTGCCGGGCCTGAAAACTGGGGCACATTAACGGGGAAGGCCCGCGGCCATGTATGGGCCAAGTACTGGTGGTTTAAGGCCCCCTTCAAACTCCTCACCCATCACACCTCGAAGGTGAGACATCACCAAATGCAAAGATAAGGTCGGATTTGGGCACATCTTGGTCGGCGCAGAGGTTGAAAAAAAAAAACCTCACTTTTGAGGAAGTGAGCCATGCAGGTAGGCCCAAGGGTGGGTGGTTGGGCCCAGAGCCTAACCTTGGGCCCAAGGGCAGCAGCCCCCAAATAAATGCTTCCAGGAGTTTCAGGTGCAGTTTGAGCATTCAAGGAGGCAAGGGACTCCGTCAAAGTTGAAGGAACAGCCACTTACCATCTTCCCCCAAGCACAATGCACTCTCATCATGACTGTGTCAGACAGACTCAGACTGGACCGGAAAGATACATTACATACTCTGTCCACTTCTGCTTGGGGATTTCGCCACCATCACCTCTACTTGTGCTCCTGACCTGCCACTGTTACTTCAACCAGCTTCCATATGAAGCATCCTGTGAGGACTTGGACACTCCACCTCCCTCCCCACTTGCTTTTCTAGAATCTAGCCACCGCTCACCTCTCTCGACCCACGCCTCCCCCCCTCACC